AAAACACGAGCAGCGCCTTCCCCTTCCCCGGGCGGCCATTCCCCCCCGCGCCACGGCGGGCCTAGGAGAAACCCGCGCCTGCCCGAGCTCCCGAAACGCTTGGCCACCGCGGAAAGCTGCAAGGACCGGTCTGTAGCGGGAAAGAACCGTACAGGGTCCCCACGTTTCGCTCCGGCGAATGTCTGACTAAATATTTTCCAGCGGGCAAATAAATACTCTGGGGTCTGCGGCAGGACAGGAGGAAGGTCCTGTCCCGGGGAGGCAACCCTACCAACAAAATTAAAAAACTAAAAATAAAAGGGGCGATTGTGGAACACAGCGCTTCTCTCCGCTCGCAATTTAAGTCCCTTTTCCATCCGAAAGACAAAATTGGCTCTAAAGTGCTGGTCCTTTCACCGTCAAAGCTTAAGGGTATGTTGCCGTTGAACAATTTTTTTTTTTTTAAGAGGCAATAATTTATTTTTTTTAATGTTCGCTAGCGTGTTGTGGATGTTCCTCTGCGCCCGTTTATTCCTCTGGAAAGCCAAAGAAGGCCTGATTCGAGCGTGAGGGCGGAAAGTCCCGGGCTGAGCAGCCAGCCCCAACCTCTAGCGCCTAGCACAGCACTGCCAGCGTGAATCAAAATACACTCTTCGCTCAACTGCTTCTCACCGGGGTATTTTCTATTTAACTGCCTGCGAAGAACAGAAAAAAAATGTAGCCGATTTATTCTACGTTTCTCATTATTTTAAGCTGTCTAATTTCAGCGTCTTTGATTTTTCTCCCATTTACAATTCCCGGTGCATTCATCTGCTGTCAACAGCGTTGAGTCAACAAAAGCATCCGTAGGCAACTTCTGTTTATTTACAGTCCTAAGCTGATCTGTTTCCCATTTAATGGAAATTAAATGGCGAGGCACTTTTAGGTTGCATTTCTCCTACAGAATCTTGAATCAATAGCACCAGTGCTATAATTAGGAGGAATTTAAGACACAGCATTTACAAGGACAAGAAGTTTTGTTTACACGCTTACAGCGGTAGCCAAACTTAAATTAAAATAAAAGCAGTGTGTCAAACTGGATTAAGGGTCCATTTTCACTTGCAAAATAACTTTTACGGAGGGTGACGAGAAAGGGGAAAAAAAGAAAGAAGGGTGCCTCGCTTTTATGGTGGCAAAGCAGAAATTAAAAAATAATAATAAAAGACACCGAGAGACACGAGAATAAACGCAAGCATAAATGCACAGGAAACCCCCGACCGGAGGGCCAGGTCGCCATGTGGTGTAAACAGAGAAACGGGGACGAGGAGAAAAACAAAGACGTTTCCCCATCTCCTGAAGGCTTCTCTCCCTTTTTCTCCCTGAGCAAAGGGCTCCGGGCTGTGGGTGTGCGTGTCCGTGCGCCGGTCCCGCCGCGCAGGCAGAGGAGCGGGAACAATTGGCGCGGAGCCGCCCGCTCTGCAGAAACCCGGCCCGGAATCGCACCGCCCGCCTCGGCCCC